GTATATGAACCTGAGCTGCATATGGTTTCCTTCTCAGTCAGTCTTAGCTTACCATCTTAAGCTTGTTAATTTGAAAACTCTCAAACTCCCTGATCTGTGACCCTTTCTTCAAAAATATTTCTCAACCAGTGTCAAAAATGGAGGCACAAACAATGGTGGTGATGATCGAGGTGATGTCAATGCGACACGTGTTTACACCGAAGCCATGATGGTTGGAATATTCTGCAGTCCGAACCCGATGATCTGTGACACCGATCCATATCGTGGCGGATCCAACAGGCGCGTGATCACTTCCCGCCCCGGATACGTCACTGCATGGTGGCTATTGGTGATGTCTAAAGTACATGGGCACCATTTGTAAACGTTGGTTTTAATAACAACGAGTAGTTGGGTTCAATTTCACCAATGTATTAATAAACTGAGGTCATGTTCACAAACAAGAGTTCAAAAATATGGTATATGAAGCTGATCTGTATATGGTTCCCTTCTCAGTCAGTCATAGCTGACTGAATTGAACTGGTTGCCGAAGTGAAGACTGGAGAAGTAAAGTCGAAGAAGACGCAAGAGGTACACATGATGCCTGCAGTGTATTATAAGTAGGTAGCACATCTACTGTGATGGTTGCTGCACACGTGGTTAACATGGTCGTTGGGGATGTTGGTACTTTAGATATGCCATGGTAATTCTCACGTGGGGTAAAATGGATGGGCGCTTAGTCCTGGATCTATTTGCCCTGATTATGTTTATATTTCCGACGTTGGACGATAAGTGGAACACAAGATGAAGATGAATATTGTTGGGACTAAACTCGATGCTGAGCTTCAATGGATGACGGAAGATGGAAAGGAAGAGCAAATGCACATGCATAGCGGATGTGGCTAAATGAAGTCAGTGTATTTGAGTGAGAGTTATCTTTCCTGGACTTTTTATCTCTATTTGTCTCCATAACGGGACTTAACTCATATTGAGTTAAGTCGGATTATTATGATTAATCTGTATGTAATCTTAACCCTTATGATGAATAAAACCAAAATAAGGTTTGAAAATGTTTCAGGAGAAATATTTTTGTACAACTGAATATACAGTATCATATAAGAAATCATTATTGTACAGGATGACAATAATTCAATTGTTTAAATCAAAACGTATAAAAAGTACTTTCATAGAAAATATGAACAACAGAAGTTCATAAATGGTCTATTTTTCTGTCATTGAAATAGTCAATTACAAATTTGCAACATTTTTTTTCAGAGGTCAAATATGCAGCTCATATTGCTTTAAGATTTGATTGTGGTAATGAACACAGTAATAGAAGCAATTGATTAATTAGAAAATGAACTTAGATTAATTATTCCATATACTTGATATTCAAAACAGAGCTTCATTTACCGTTATTTTTTATTTTGATATTTTAGAATACAAAACGCCTCAAATTTAACTTTGTTTGGAATTTCTGTCATTTCGTTTTAATTATTTGTATTTATTAACTATGGATAATGCCTAACAAGAGGCCCATGGGCCACATCGCTTAACTAAGCACATTGGCAAGAAAAAAAACAGAAATCAGTTCAGTATTGAAATGTTTTACAAGGGGGAGGGGGGATTGAATATTAAACTACCTGATTATTCTTGGATCAATATTGATATAATACACGGCTTTGCTGTTCTTACGCAACAGATTTTGTTCTTTTTAACCATTTTAAAGAATATGATCTCCCTATCGTAGCCCAGACCAACTTCCAAGGGCCCTCGTTTAAATTAATTTGATTCTACACTACCTTATAAGAATGTTTCCATATCATTATGACTAACCAGGGCTTTTCTGTTCTTGAAAAAAAATTTCTTATTTTGATCCCCCATTATGGCCCGTACCTACATGTACCCCCTGGGGTCAAGACCTGAACAAACTTAAATTTACATCACCTGAGGATGCTTCCATTAAAATATGACCAGTCATGGCTTTGTTGTTCTTAAGAAAAAGACTTTTAAAGGATTTTCCTATATATTCCTATGTAAAACTTTGATCCCCCATTGTGGACCTATTCGACCACAAGGGATCGTAATTTGAACAAATCTACAATACCCGAGGATGCTTTCATATAAATATGACTAATCATGGCTTTGCTGTTCTTGAGATTTTAATGACATTTTTCTATATATTTCTATGTAAAACTTTGATTCCCCATTGTGGCCCTGCCCTATCCCCCGGGGTCATGAATTGAATAAATTTGAATTTACGCTACCTGAGGATGCTTCCATATACATGTAAATATGACGAGTTATGGCTTTGTGGTTCTTGAGAAGAAGTTTTAGTTTAAAGATTTTCCCAATACATGTATATTCCTATGTAAAACTTTGAACGTCCATCATGGCCCCACCCTGTCCCCGGGGGTACAAATAGTCTACCTGAGGATGCTTCCACATTAGTTTCTTCTTTCTCGATCCAGTGGTTCTTGAGAAGAAGACTTTTGAACACGCCACCATTTTTTTTTTTACTATCTCTTAAATATCTCTCTTTGAAAGAAGGCGGGGTTCTTCTTTTTATCAAACTTAAATTCCCCTTACCCAGTAATGCTTTGTAGTAGGTTTGGTTGAAATTGGCACGCTGATTCTTGAGAATGAAGTCAATAAACGTTTCAGACTTACTGACAGACGGACGGACAAACAGACGGACTACAGATAAAATGTTCACCTGAGCTTTCAGCTGTAAATTTACTAAAGAATGTATGTTTGTATACATATATTTTTTAAAATCATTTCACGAATACTCGGTTTCCTCGTAGAGCATATTATGTTTTATTAATATTAAACTTGAATTTCTTATTTTAAAAGAAGGATAAACTATAAGTAATCTAAATTTATTCATTGATTAATGAAAGTTTAATTCATAATAGATATATTTAAAGCTATATGATGTATCTGAGCTAAAAAAAAAAATAATAATGAGAAAATGAGTGTAGATAAACATTCTATATATCATTTGCATTTAAATTTAAAATTTCGCCGATTTTAATTAAGCTTGAATAACATCACGTTTTAATAGTTAAGACTTCACAATAATGTAGAGTTGGAAAATAAAAAAAAGAAACAAATTTACTCAGATGTAGCCAGATCAATATTAAAAAGCCAAACTGCGAAACAATACAATAATTTGTATCATAAAGAAGGTCTTTTTGTATTTCGACGGAACAATAAACATCACAAAAATTGTTACATTTATGACAGTTTTATTACATACATGTATGCTATAAATCATAAATTTTACGTGCATGGCTTTTACGTATAAGTTGAAACAGACTATAGACTACCTGCAATTTATTTCGTTTGTTCTCGTACCAGTACTAACACCCCTACTAATGTGTTCGGAACCTTTTATTTTTCGATGTTCTGCAAATTATAAAACCCGATGAGTTCAGAGTACCTCTGACAGTGACTCTGGCGAGAGTTAGCGAGACTTCAGCGAGATAGGGTAAATTATTCAAGGAAATGTGGCTAGGAAGTGACTAGCACGTGGAGACATGGTAAACAGAAAAGTTATGTTGCGTTTTAGTTTTCACCACCCTATAATATCATTCTGTAGAAATGTACTTCAATCGATCTTTTTTGAATTCATTCAAGTTTAAATTATAAGCATTCTCTATGATTTTTTGCTGTCATGAATTAAAAGTTCTTTTTGTATAAATATTTTGGATGGGAACCGTGACTATATTTTTTGGCGTCATACTTAGCAAATGAGGCATCAATGTGACTTTAACTGAAAAATCAGATGAATGAGAACTGCATTATGGGTTACTATACGAATTCTAAAGGAATTTTACGCTTGATAAATTCCTTTATTGTACTATCGGTGAATACAATTGTCAGGTGGATTCCTTGGCTAACACTGTGATCACGAGTATAGTTTAGTAAAAAATGTTTTGTCCATTTAAACAGGTCAACCTGTTAAATGCATACAAGGAGCTGCTCGTTTTCCTTACCCTTGAAGTGCTGGCATTCTGAATTGGACACTAACTACGTATACATTTTATTTAACATGTTTTTTTTTCTAGTTAACAACAAATTAAAAACGCCCAGGATATTTTTCATAGTTTCTAATGTTTGCATTTTGTTCATAAGAACATTTTATTTTATTGTGCACTCCATTGAATGATCATAGATTCACCTGAACCACGTGTTCGAAGTAACATGTAAACATGTATTTGGCGTTAACGTATTCAATCAACAATTGGTCAGAAGCTCGAGGTAAGATCCTTTGTGCGCATTAATAACAACAGCCATATAAGGCAAACAAATATTTGTCAGTGTAGATGATATTAATCATTTTTTTTACCAGCGTATCGGTCGCCAGTGAGCTGTAATTTTTGCAGTAAACTATGATAAGATGTATTAATTGTTATTTAACCCCCCCCCCCCCCCCTCTAAGCCACCAATTTCTGTTGAAATTCATGAAAGTCTTTCAGAAAGGTGTGGAAACACATTTTTCACAGGACAAGTTTTCAGAAGAAACAGACTATAGCAATTTCCTGTTTACTGCCAATTTTATTTATATATCCGGTTCTACCCTATAACCTATCAATAGGTGAACCTAAACCACGTGTCTTGAATTTAAATCAAAATAACATTAGTAGGGGTGACTAAGACATTCACCTTTGGAATATGAGAGACATCGCCCTATAGATTCAAAAACAATTATTTTCAACTTCGTTTACAGGGGTATATAAATTTAACGTCTAAAATGGTTCATACACTCTCTCTTGAAGTTGAGCCGTGAATGTCCCAGATGGAGAAAAATTCCAGCAAATCTGTAATATAATTTGATAATTTCAGCTTTGAAGTTGAAATGACTATTATTTCAGGGAGGGCACAAATTAACATTGTCATTCAGGGCAGGTACTACCAGGGAATAATTTGATGACAGGTCATGTCCAAAGAGAAATTTCCTATAAATTAGCAAAGCGATTACAATGTTAACCCTAGCCCGAACTATTTTTGTATCTTACCAGGTATTGTAGGGTGCATAAATTCCGCGATAAAGTTGGGTAAAGTTATACGGCGGATTGCCAGGCCAGGTGATGGTGTTACTGTCTTGTTGGTATGACAGGTCCACAATTCTGGGAACCGAGTATATTGGTCGAACCGCCGTAAGGAAAACACACAAATATATTACAACATCCATCTTGTCCAAATCTACCTGAGCCGCTGTTTAAACTGACATTTGTTGTGCTCTGTTAATCAAGGAATGTATTTATTTCCTAGGCAATAACAGAAATTAAATGACGTTCTACTTTAAAATTTGTTTCCTCCCGTAGGAAATTGTGTTACCGATTGATTTGTATGATGAAACAACCAGTTAAAGACGATTCAGGGTGTGGATCCAAGAATTTATTCTTTAGGATATTGTAAGGATTGGATGATCAAATCGACAAAAACAACAACATATAAGCACACATTTACACGAAACATTGCAAAGACAGTACATACAGATACTCACATCTTCAACACAATCATTTATAGTTCATACATGGCATAACTAACACAGTGCAATTAAATTCTTCATACACCCCGTTCCCCATGGGAGAACATGATGGTGTTGTTCGGGACTTCTTCATTCCAATAAATATTATCTGACAAATTTCTTAGAATATTTCAGTCGAATTTGTTCCTTTATCACTGTGTCTGCGGGTAGGAAATTCCTATTTAGTGATTAATTTGTGAAACAAGGCCCCGACTGTTGTTTTCGCCTTCTGGTTCTTGGATGGTATTGTCTGTGCAAACCTTGTTAAGCCGTTTGTTATAATTAGGATGTTGTGGAAACCTCCTTTAGATGACTCTAATGTAAAAAAGTCCATACATTACTGCGACGTGGGATATTGGTTTATACGGTCTTAACCAGAAGATCGGTCTCTACGTCCCACAGTGGGATTCAAAACCGTGACGTACGCAGCGACACTGATCTAGAAAAGACGCTCTTACCACTGCACAAAGCGGACGATATGAATGAATCGTCAAATTGTGATTTACTAATAGTTGGAAATTTTATCCTCTAATCTCCATCCGCCAGCTTATCTATGGATGTTTGAAATTGAAAAAAAAATGTCAAAAAATATGTCCAACACCTGAAACACGAGAAGTATGTAGTATATACGTAGCAAAACACACAGCTTATTTAGATCAGATTAATATTGCTTTAACATCGACTTTTGAAATTGATAAATTGCAAGAATCAGTAAGAATTGTTTCAGCTGATATATCATGCCAATTTATGATCATCAATTATTGGATTGAAATACGTAAAAATATATTAAAATTTTATCTCTTATTTACAGAATCTAACAATCAAATCTATACTTACTAGTTCTTTATCTATTTTATACGCAGTGTCCTATCGAGGTATACTTTCGTGATATTTGAGAATACATGTACTGGCACACTGATTCTTTAAATTAATGGATAAGTAGGTTAAATGGTAATGATGTATTTATTTATTCGGGTAGTCGGCTGGAGCTTTTCTGGCTTTTGGTACTGGTATCTTGAGATAAATGTCAACTTCCGAGTTACTGGAACTCTCTTCTATTACATGAACTTCCCTATCTTGATCTGTTTCCACTCTTGGTGTGCTCTGCGGAATCTTTTTCCTGGACATGTTTTTCTGGATAATTTGCATCCAATTGGCACTAATAGATTGCCATGAAGGGTTATTAGTTCTTCAAATGCCATCATCTACTCAAAAACTGGGATATAAAGATTGGCTGGTCATGGATGAAATAAGGCTCTTCTCTCCACCTTTCGACTATCTTGTGCTTTCCATAGAGTGTCACAACTTTAAAACTTTGTCGTCAACCTGTAAATTTGCACCCCTTACCTTTAAAATCATAGAACTTATCCTATTTTCTCCTAGCTTCCTCTGCTGTATCCATGGCCAACTTGTTTGCTTGTAGTCATTTTGGTTCTAAAATCAGCAACATAGTGACTGGCCATCACTGTCAATACGCCAGTTTCGAGATTGTAACTCTCCTACGATAGAGGCGCGAAAAGTATCCATTTTAGCATAGAGGTGGGACAGGTTGTTTCTGTATACAAACGTTCATAAATAAATGAATGATATTTATGGCTTTTAAAATTTACTAAATGTTATAGAAAGATAATAGTGTTAAGCAGTGATGCGTTTGATGATTTTATCAAGCTCAGTTACAAATCTACTTTATATTTTAGGGTACTTGAAAACGAAAGAACGTCGTAGTCTTTATAAAAAATGACTGATTTTCTTGATTGTACAAATATTTTCTTAAAAGTTAGTGGTTTTTTTTAAAAAGTTTTGATAAAGAAAAGAATCAATGTGTCATTTAAATTGCCGACTTGAATGATTAGATGCATTTGTACCGTATTTATTAGAGGTCCATATCTGTTCCCTCGTCTGGAAAGTCTCACATCCACTTATATTTTCTTTTTTGTTAAGATTTCTTTGCTTTAAAAAATTACGCCTTTACATTAATTTGGTTATTCTCGAGTTGTAAAATACACCCTTACAATCATGTAGCATTGATAAACCAGTATATCGATGATGCAACGTATCCAATACGTAAATAACTGTCCCACCTGTCTGTTTACGCAGCAACGAAACTCTCCTCCTCAACGAAAGAGCGCGCAAAGGGAGATAATCTCGAAACTTGCGTATTAGGGTTCCCTCCCAAACATCACGAAATATTGGGACTGTCCGGTACTTTTATGTCTGGTGCTATTATATGCCTGCATTAATGGTGACGAATAGATCTTTTAGCTACAGTGTACCCAGCACATCTAACAGTGTGCGATTATTACTAAATTATTCACACACCCTGTTCCCCATGGGATGATACGGTGTTGCTCGGGACTTCTTCATTCCAGTCACTTGCATTTGATGATGTTTTTATAATATTATCGTCGAAATCCGTCCCTTGATCACTGTGTATGCAGAAAGAAAATCCATGTTAAGTGATTATTTTCTGGCACAATACCCCGACTGCTGTTTTCGTCGTCTGGTTCTCGGATAGTATGGTCTGGGCAAACTTTGTTGAGTGGTTTATTTTAATTAGGATGTGAAAACCTCCTTTAGATGTAAGTGTATACACCAATATCCTATGTCGTAGTAGCATCATATTGGAATTGGTCTGTAAGGACTTCCTTACATCTAAAGGATGTTGTGAAAACCTCCTTTAGATGTAAGGAAGTCCTTACAGACCAATTCCAATATGATGCTACTGCGACATAGGATATTGGTGTTGTATACAGTACAAACCGGAGGAGCGATCTCAACTTCCCTTATTGGGATTCGAACCCGAGACGTAAGGATCAAACATTACGGTGCGACTCTGAACTACATGTAGAAAAGACGCTCTTACCTCTGCGGCACGCGACCGACGACATGGATCGTTTAATTGTGATTAAAAAATGTTGCAAAATTTCATTTACTGATCTCGAAAGCTAGCTTATTAATGGATGATTCATAAAAAAAATTGTGTCCCACCGGCCCGCGAAACACGAGTACATGTATACGTGTCCAAACATACAGGTTATTCCGATCAGATCAAAATTGTTTTTCCATCAATTATGAAACTGATAAATTGCAAGATTCAATAAGACATTTTTCAATTGACATGTCATGTTCATTTATGTTCATAATTTGATATTGACATTCGCTGATTTGAAATACTTGTTCTTTATCTATTTTATTTTCAGTGTCCTATCGAGGTATAGTTTCGTGGCATTTGCAACTACATAACTACATGTACTAGCACATCAATTCTTCAAATTAATGGATAAATAAGTTCAGTTGTTTTAATACGACGCTTTTCATTCAGAGTGCGAAGTAAATTTGCCAACAGTGCTGCATTTTAGTTTGGATACTCATATAATCAAAGAACTGAAAAGCGGTTAGCATGCTTTCATCCAAAATATCTGCATAAAATGATTATATTAAAGAAGACTCAGACATTACTCTACTAAATAATGAAATCAATTACGTCTTGAATTGATGTTACAAGTGCAAGATTCAAAATACTAACATGTCAATTCTTCAGTTTGAGAGAAAGGATGTGCAATTAAAAAAAATACAGGGCTTAATTTTTATTGAAACTGTACCTTGCTCTTTCAAAGTTTCAGTTCCGTAGGATTACTGTGGGCGTGAACGGTCAAGAGGGGATACTCATTTCTCTAGGGCAATAGATCCTACCTGAAATTTGCAGGGATCCAATTCTATTTTTAGATTGGTCACTGTTCGTTATATTCACCCTTTACATTCAAAATTTGAAGCGCATTGTATGGATTCTATAATTTTAGGAACTGAGTACTTCAGTTTATCAATATTATGAACTACTTCCTCCACTGGAAGAGAAACAAGTTAATGGGGTAATCAAGTTTTAAGAAATGTACATTATTGACTATACAAACAATCTAAATGTTCAAGGAAGTATATATATTAAAAAGCTTAAATTCTAGAATTTGATAATAAGAGGGATGATGAAAAAACACGTGTAGAACATGGAGCTTGTAGCTGTAGATGCTGCGTTTGTTTTGTCGGGATCGTCATCATATGTCCCGAAAAGACGCGCAGGTCCACCACTTCCGTCATAAATCTTGATAACCGGAACGTAAATAGTGCTTCCGCTTTCTGGAATGTTATCCAGATTGGCAACATTCTCAATCCCTACCACGTTATTTTTCCCCATGATCAAGTGACAGGGTAATGTTTTGGACTGTCCATAATCGGTAGAGGGCGTGTCCACTCCAATAGCGTTGACCTGTCGCTTGTTTATCAGCCACGTGACAGCTTCCTCGTGCCAGCTAGGAAAATGAAATGTAGAAGAATCCAGAAGCTGCATGGTTCCCCATACCAGAGTATTGTTTAAGTACTTTTGAGTCCAACCCGAGTTCATTATAACTACGGAATGCCTGGGAATTTCTCCATATTTTTCTTCGTATTTCAAAAGATCATCTGTGGAAACTCTATAAAGACAGAAAATCATTTATTAAAAATCCTCCCTAGTTTCGGCGTATTGCAAAAAGCAATACTTACACGTTATGTAAAATTTTCAGTTTGTTTGAATTAGCCTACCAAATGTTACAACTATGCAATATTTGTGTACACTTTTCGTACTTGTAATTCTGACATGTTCAAGCATATTTAAAAATTCAACCTTTCTTACAATAAAAATGCTTTCTTTTGTGATCAGAACGGAAAATAAAGTTGCAGTCCTTGCTGGAAAAATACATAATCCACGTATGAGCAAGCTTAATGGTTTATGAAATTTAAAGATGTGGGTCGAGCAGCAAGGCATGTACAAGTAAAATCTATGTTATCCCCTTGAGAAGGCATGTTATCCCCTTTGATTTGATTAAGGGTTCACCAAAAATAATGGTACTGACTACTGGTTAGTGGTTATATACCTGTAATCTGGATTGCTCTCGACCTTGGCTTTAACATTTATTATAACTCCAGGTCCATATAATTTTTCAATCGGGATTTGATGCGTCCTCCAAGTGCCCTTGAACGTATGAACTGGGGCGTCTACATGAGTGCCCATATGCTCTGGCATTGCGATGTGATTGTTTTCTAGCCTAAAAAATATATAAATAAAGACTTTTTGTACATAATAATATTGTTATCCTTTCGTAAGAATGAATTTAATATTATAGAACTGAAAACTATGCCCGCATCATAATTTTATCATTACAGTCAATATAATTAATACCGGTGAAAATGTGAATGTGAGGTTTTAATATACACATTCTTATAAAACTGCTATAATCGTATGTAAACTCAATCATTTGTGTTTTTGAGGAAAACATTACTCGAGCCTTCGTGTCTTGATTTATTAATAAAAAACAAATCAAAGATCTTCCAGGAAAAAAAATATTGAAAATTCTTTAATTTATTGAGTTTTAAGGTTTCATCAAAGGTCAACATGTCCAAAATTTTTTTTTACAATAGCTCCAAAACAATTTGAGGTTTTACCTTAAAACTTTTACAGTTTATAAATATATCATTGTTTTACAGATAGAAAGTATCACTTAAAAACAAGTATTTAAAAAAATTATCGAGACAAAAATATCAAAAAATTCGCATATTTACATGCTTATCGATGAAGGGCAAGTTGGACGAGAATGGTCTCTGAAAGGATGTTATTGAAAGCGTGGCATGGCTGTATAAAGACAAGATCCCTTAAAATTCGCCATTTGCAATGTACTTTTGATATCAAATCTTAACATTTGGACAAAATACACGGGGAAAAACAACTTTCTAGAGGCTATCGAAGTCCTACTTGCCCTTCAAGTTATTAGTAAGCATATTATGTTTCTGCAATGAAAACTTTCACTAAAACTACGGAATTCATTAGGTGTATTTTTTTTTTAAATATAGGTTTTTTATTTAAAGAATTTTTCTTGATCAATATTTTTTTAAGTATTTGTTATCCAGTGGCATTTTCTGTCTGTTAATCAATGATATATTTATTAAATGTAAAAGTTTCAACTTTAAAAACCGCATAGTTTTGGAGCTATTGTAAAAATGAATTTTTGGACAAGTTTATCTTTGGTGAACCTTTGAAGAAAGAAAGGAGAATCTCGAATGGTTACATGAAATGTAAATTTATTATTGAATCGTGCAAAGTAAGATAATCTTTAATTAATTTTCAATATTTTCTATCCAGAGTTGTCGTTCCCGCTACGTTACCACACACAATTCTGTCGTTATAAATTCTTGAAAAATTCTTGGAAAATTTTTAATCGACGAAAAATGTTGTTTTTTTTGTTGTTTTTTTTAACGTTTTTAATCATATGATATTCCTTATCGGTTTATAGGATTTATAATCAATTATTTATCCTTATAAATTACTCTTCAAAATGGTTCCATTAAAAATTTATAATGAATAAATGAACAGCTTCTATCAGTACTGTCCATATCATATTAGATATTTGTCTAGTTCATTATAAATCACATGTAACTGTTAACATGTCCATGACGTTAATGTGTACAATTTTCAACTTTTCATTGCACTGACATACAAAGTGTCGGGGGGCTTTAGTGAAATTAAAACAGTCTTAAAATCTCATTTGTACGACGGCGTATTCGTGCCATATTGACAATGTAGAGAAAATTTTTCAAAATCGTTTGTACGATTTTTAAAATCGTTTAAACGATTTAGAAAATCGTTCGAACGATTAAGAAAATCGTCTGTACGTTTTTTAAAAATCGTTTGAACGATTTAGAAAATTGTTTGAACGATTAAGAAAATTGTTTGAACGTTTTTTTAAAATCGTTTGAACGATTTCTTAAAATCGTTTGAACGATTTTTTAAACCGTTTGTACGATTTTTAAAAATCGTTTGTACAATTTTTTTGAAATCGTTTGTACGATTAAGAAAATGGTTTGTACGATTTAGAAAATCGTTTGTACGATTGTTATTTCTTGTTATTACAAGTAGAAGAAGCGTAGTAGTAGAAAACCTTGCACAAGTAGGACAACGTATCCACGCATAGTTTTAATGAATGACACGATGAAAAATTGATCAAGGGATATTTCAAGATGGGTTTCATTTTTTTGGAAATTGCACAGATCCTTTCGCAAACTCACCGAGTCTTTGTTATAGTGAACGAACATTGAAAAGGACAACAGCTAAGTTGGGACTGTTCAGATGTAAGAACAACTCCGACATATAGGGGATGTTGCCCTTTTCATTGAGGAAACAATTGAGTCATGTGGTCAATTGCATTGATACAGCTGGTTGTACTGGAAAGCTATTATGGCAGGAATTACGTTTCTAAAGAAGATATTCGATGTCTTCTTTCTATACAAGATCCAGAGGGAGAGTGTTTAAGTGAAAGAAACAGACTAAGACGAAGATTGTACACTAACAAAGGTCCAAATTACGTATGGCAGCGCACGAAGATGGATTATACAATTATACAAGTGATCATAAAAACAATGTGAATGTAATTGTGATATGATGGTTTACTAATTATAAGATTACAACAATATTCATAGAGTTTAATTAGCAAGATACAATAAGTGTTTCTGTACCTGTGTTAGTCAGCGGCGAAGGGATTTCTTTATACAATATCTTTACCAGGTTTCTTATTCAGTACGCTTCTCTTCCGAATTAGAAGAAGAAAATAATCGTACAAACGATTTACTAAATCGTACAAACGATTTAACAAATCGTACAAACGACTTAACAAATCGTACAAACGATTTAACAAATCGTTCAAACGTGGTTTTTTTTTTATTTTCTCTACATTGTCAATATGGCACGAATACGCCGTCGTACTTTTGCCCTCATATAGGAGATAGAAAGCTTAAAATCGCATTTACACTCTGATTCATACATGTAGGCTATATAACACTTTGTGTGAATCTACTAGCAAAAAAAAAAATCAAAGAATAATTTTTTTGCTGTTTTGACAACTGCCATATATATATTTGTTTGTTTCCAAGAATTTGTGATTATATACACCTTGATAATTGACACTGAATTAAATTGAGAGGTAAATTTGTATCATGGAAATTTGAACTTATTTATTTTGGTTTAGAATTGTGAACAATGGTAAACTCAGAGACCAGGAATCTGACCGTAACACAATTGTTGAAGTGATCTTGTTATTATCGAGGTACTTATAAAAGTCCGTCATCCGGAGAAATGTCGGTCTCAAATCTAGGGCAGCTGGTCAGTCTGACACGAACGCCTGTTTGTAAATCTTGATGTTAGAAAAAATGTATAAATGTTATCAAACAAGTAATTTACACGGCACACAGATTAACCCCATTGCCCCCCCCCCCCCTTTCGCCCCTCAAAAAAGAGAAAGAAAATGAAAAGAACATTTTTAGATCAGTCTATTATAACATGTATAATATTTAAAATTAGCAATATTATTTCTGTTCACATATACGTAGTAATAAAACAAAAAAATGAAATTTTACGTGCCGTATTTGCTATAAAAAATAATTTGATGCTGGAATGGGGGACAATGACAAATGAATGTAATAATTTATGCTACATTGAAGAAATGCAGCTTCAATCATTTTTCGTACAAATATAAAATAAATAGGGTTTGTTAATTAAGCGTTATCAATTTCTCAATCATAAAGTACATGAAACCTTTAGAAAAAATGAAACAGCAATAAGAGTTTTTCTTTATAGTGTTCCTATGACGGATCTTTATAGTCGCTGCCCTATAAATCAATTTTTCAGAATATTTTACGTAACTTTTAAAAACTAATATACAATTTGTTCTGTGTACCAACTGTGTACGGTTCATTCGAATTTTTAGTAACTTCTAAAATGGTTCATACACCTGTCTTGAAATTTATTCGGGAATGTCCCGGATTGAGAAAAACCCATCTGATTTATAATGTAATTTGATCATTTACAGCTTTGTAGTTGCAACTTTGGAGACAATTATTTCAGGTCTTCTTCTTAGAACATTTTCATGCAGGGTTGGCACTACCGGGGAAGAATTTTTTAGGGGCATGTCTAAAGAGTAATTTCACATAAATCAGCAGAGCTATTTCATATAACCCCCCCCCCGGACCTGGGTTGCGTCTTACCAGATATTGAAGGGTGCATAGAATCCCCGATGAAGTTTGGTAAAATTATACGGCGGGTTGACTGGCCAGCTGACGGCGTTATCGTCTTGTTGATGAGACAAGTCCACGATTCTGGGAGCCGAGTACATTGGACGAACCGCCGTAAGGAGGAGAACACTGAAATATAGAACTGTATCCATTTTGTCCAAAGGTAGCTGTTGACACTGACAAGGGCTTCGCTCTGTTTAACAATGAATGTATTTATCCCCCTAGGCAACAACAGAAACTAAATGACATTCATTCTATATTCCTTCACTCTATCTTTATTTAAGGACAGATGATACAAACAAATTTTTTCTTTGAAAAAGATTTAATATCATGTCACAAGTTTAGAAAAGTGGATGGTTCTTAGAATTTTTTCTCCGAAGAACTGGAAAATGAAATAGATTTGGAAAATATTAGTAATATTTCAATGAAAAAACGAATATAGACAAATCACATTCAGTAAAGGTTTACAGGTAAAAATAAATTTCAGAATATGTTATCCTGGCGTTAAAAGTGTAATATGAACCTTAGAAAAATATACCAAGCCAGGTGAATTTTAAGAGGAAGATCGAAATTACAAAAAATTGGCAATATCACATAGGCTGATTTTTACCATTTAGCTTTTCCTAATAAAATTCACCTGGCTCGGTATATTTTTCTTAAGTTTATATTACACTTTTAGCGCCAAGATAACATATTCTGAAATTTATTTTCACCTGTAAACCTTTACTGAATGTGATTTGTCTATATTTGTGTTTTCATTGAAATATTACTAATATTTTCCGAGTCTTTTTCATAATCCAGTTCTTCGGAGAAAAAAAATCTCAGAACCATCCACTTTTCTAAACTTGTGACATGATATTTAATCTTTTTCAAAGAAAAAATTTGTTTGTATCATCTGTCCTTAAGGTAGGATTCTTCTCTGGTTTCTGACTAGATGGAATATTCAAAGTGCATTTGTTGATATGTTTTATATATTTAGATGAAAGAGATTTAAAAGACCATATTTTTCTCTCCTTATCACAGTTAAACAACTTTAAATAAAAATGGTAAACTGTGTTTGAAAACCAGCAGGGACTATATTTTTGGCGGAATGGTGGCGTATGAAAATATCTTCTTTTCTGCCTCTCAAAATCATTATAGAACATTGAATTTAGTTATAATTTTTACGCAATCAAAGACTAGACGAAATTTTCAATTGTTAGTTAAATTAATAATAAGGGACTAAAGTTTCAAAATATATCAAATAAATAAGATTTTTCACACATACTAGAACTATGCTGGCTTTTAAATGCTTCAATTCTAAGTACAGATCTGAGCCAAAAATCCGTAGAAAGTGTTATTTCTCTCTCAGTAAACGATCAAAACTTTTAGTTTTTGTATCATTTTCTATCTTTATGTGACAACTTCACTATATGTGAAAATTGGAAAAAGCTGAATATAGATAACACATAAAAATAACTTATAAATCCTGAAAATTTAAGAAAAGTAGAGGAAATTCGGATTAGCATATATCCATTTTATTTAAATTATCCATGTCAATTTGGTAATATCATCTTATAGGCCCTATATGGCAGTATCTTTTTATGCAAAAAGAAAAAACATTCAATATTTTGAATTACAAGTAGGGGTCGCATGCTTGGAAACAGTATTTTTTTATTCTTAATGTACAGGAAAAAGGTAATGACCTTGACCTGACCTTGCCTCTAATATTAAACGGTCAAATTGAATATCACTGATACCATCACTTAGTGATATTGTCCTCTTGATTCTGTGAAAATTTCATTAATTTTTAAATACAAGAAATGTGAGAAGAATCCTACCTTAATTCCGAAGGCAGTTGCATGATTAAAGATTGCAAATTCATTCATTCTGAAAACTAGAGGTACTGTGTGCACTGAGCTCACTATATTATACCCCCTCGTCCCATACGATTATAATGGTAAAGTCTATATGTTTTGTCTGGGAGACCCAGAATAAGTGTCAGATCAAGAAGTAAAGTAGGAGCCACACAATGTCTGTAATAATGAATACTTAAGAAATGAATTTAATTTTTGAAGATTCATGAGGTTATGAACTACGACGCTTCACGCCGGCATATTTCATGAAGCGCATTAGCGCTTCATGATAAATAAGCCGGCGTTAAGCGTTGTAGTTCATATACCTCATGAATCTTCAAAAATTAAGCTCATTTCTTATATTAATTTTACATTATTTTCTGATGACTTGCCATAAACTTACGCCATTCAACTGTCATTTTTAAAGCAAAACAGTGTGCACTATATTTTTTGACGTCAAATGTGGTATTATGATGTAACAATGGAGTTATTTATGCTTTTTCTTGGTACTCCATGAGAAAATGAACTGTATTTTATTTTAATTGTAAAGAATCGTAGGGGAAATTTATTGGAAATGTAAATATATGTAATTGAAAGTACCATTAAACTGTACTTAGTGGTATAGGAGGAGTTGCAGATAAGAGATGGGTATTCTCCAATATTATAGAAAAAATGGCAGTCTCCAAGTTTTGCCATGGAAACACGTTAACCGATGTAAGTTTCAGATCAAAAAGTAAAATAGGAGGTGCACATAGGTACTATGTAACACAGATTATGTGAAAGTCTAATTAAACATCCAATGGTATAAGAGTAGTCGCGGATGAGAGAAGGGTACCCAAAGCGTAACAGACGGATCGACGGACGAACAGACGGATTCAGCCATCACGTACTTTACATCCTCTTGCTTTTCAAGCGGGGGTTTAAAAATGGAATTAAACAGAAATATCAAAAGCATAGTTGGACAGATCGAGATCCAAAATACAACGTATCACTATGCAATTACGACGGCGTAATAGTGCCATTTTAACAATGTAGAAATTTTTTTTTAAATCGTTTGAACGATTTAGTAAATCGTTTGTACGATTTAGTATATCGTGTGTACGATTTAATAAATCGTTTGTACAATTTAGTAAATCGTTTGTACGATTTAATAAATCGTTTGTACAATTTAATAAATCGTTTGTACAATTTGTTTGTTAAATCGTTTGTACAATTTATTAAATCTTTTATACAATTTATTAAATCGTTTGTACGATTTAATAAATCGTTTGTACAATTTAGTAAATCGTTTGTACAATTTAATAAATCGTTTGTACAATTTGTTTGTTAAATCGTTCGTACAATTTATTAAATGTTTGTACAATTTAACAGAAATATCAAAAGCATAGATTTAATAAATCGTTTGTACGATTTAAGTTTGTACAATTTAGTAAATCGTTTGTACAATTTACTAAATCGTTTTTACTATTTATTAAATCGTTTTTACTATTTATTAAATCGTACAAACGATTTTAAAAAAAATTCTACATTGTTAAAATGGCACTAATACGCCGTCGTAATGCAATATAGCAGTTAGCTGCAGATTTATTGCGCACAAAAAAGTGCGCTGTTTCTCTATTTATTTCTCCGTGCTTTTTAACCACCATCTCAAAATATTACTAAACGTATGTTCTAACCTATTCTTTTACTATTTCTACAACAAAACATTCCTTATAACTGTACTTATAAATAGCCCTCTTGGGCCTGAAATGCAAAAACATCGGAATTTTTGCAATGTTCATTGCCATTTTGGACGACAAGATTATTCGGCCAAACTCACATCTTGCAGATATAAAATATGAGAGTATATAATTGATAGGAGTCGAAGAAATGAATTGAGCTTTTGTACAGTTGAGAAAATAATAATAGAAACGATATGAAATAAATTTTTTATCCAATCAAATACAGCGTTACAAACAAAATTAAATTATAATTGATAGGAGTCGAAGAAATGAATCGAGCTTTTGTACAGTTGAGAAAATAATAGAAAGTAATTAAAAAAAAAAACAAAAAACAAAAAAACGAGCGCAACTCTTTGTGCCAAATGAGTATAATTTCTTCTATGGATGGCATTGTAGCTCTCTTGTCATTGATCCAATTTTTTTTTCAGACCAGCGAGGAACAGATCTGCAGGTATAAATGTACATGTACAAATATGTACGTGTACCAGTTGGTGGACACTAAAATTTAACAGATATATCGCCTTTTGATGCATCTTATAATATTGTAAACAAGTTTGTCGCACTTCTAAGGCTATATATAGTGATGTTAATTTTTAATGTGCATCAAGAAGTACATTTACCACTGTATTGCATGATTTAAAACCTACGTGAAATCTTTGCAGTTCTATTAACAACTTCATCAACTTTGTGAACTAACTTCAGAGTTCTGTGGGCGGCGGAAAGGATAACGACATTTCCAAGAAATAAAAAAAATAACGAAAAACATAATGAAATACAAGACAGACAGCTCAAAATAAATTGAAAAGATAAAAAAAACACAACAACCCAAAATTGAAGAGAATAGATGACGAGCAAAATACAGTCGTTATTTAACGCTAGTTGGCACGCGTCTTTAATTTATGTAATTTTATATATTTACATTTCCAATAAATTTCCCCTATGATTCTTTACAAAATAAAATGCAGTATATTTTCTCATGCACTACATTAGGTATGTATCACGAATATAAGCATGAATATCTCCATTGTAATTGTTTAACGTCCCTCTCGAGAATTTTTCACTCATATAGAGATGCCACCATTTGCCGGTGGAAAACTGCAAATTTTGCCTTATACTCGTCACTTAGGGCCATTGAGCAGGGAGGGATCTTTTTCGTGCCAGCACCTACAGCGACACGGGACCTCGGTTTATACGGTCTCATCCGAAGGACCGCAAAAAAAGATAATTATAATACATGCAAATAATTCATTAAGTAAATCGTCTACAATACAGTATGCAATTACTTCATATATTTAATTTGTTTGACATTTCCAGAGAAAAATTCAGCAACGAAAATGTTATCACTTTTGTCTATGCACAAACCATATGGAAATTCCAAATCAGAGTTATCTATGAAACGAAGGAACTGTCCATCCATGTCTAGGATGTGGATATAATTATGATCACGGTCTGATATAAGTACATGTATCTAACACTGACTGTCTGTTGCGATACCGGATGGCCAAAAATGGCTTTTTCAGAGAAGAAGAAAAGTGACCAGTGTATCTGAACCTGAGTTCACCACACTGATTGACCACCACTACGGCACCAGCGTCAAGATCAGACACACAGATATCCAGGTTTGTTTTCACTGTCTTTTTAAGAAAACTTTTAATGTTAAAACATTTAATTAAACCATTACATGCTGGACTTGTCCAAATTTCCCTTTCATTAATGAAGGCAACACAGCAGAGGAAGTTATCAATGACATACCCAGTATTTATTTAATTGACAAGTTTCGGCCTTTTCATTAGCTTCTTGCAATTGGTTTCCGTTTCCGATTTCTTCAATTTGGAGCCCCGTTCTTCTTTTCTGATAGACATGGGTGTTAGAGTTCCAAATAATTTGTAAACCTCTTCCCAGACCCTGTTTACATTTTGAGTACTAAATTTTGGTATTGATACAAGTACATCACCCAGTGGTGGAAGGTTTCTGAATTCGTCTATTTTGGACACGTATTCCAAAGTCAGGGTCACTTCATTTGATTTCTCAATTTTCTTCATTGTAAGCAGTGTTTGATCAATGTCAAACTGTATCTGTTCCATTTCACTTAAGTTCTCCTTAATACACACAAAAGGAAAGAAGTAAAGCTAAAACAAGGTATAATTTAAACACATATATTTGTAAGTACAGGTACATGTACATGTAACTAAAAGAACCTATGACCTTTAAATTTGCCTTTAATTAATTCTAAACTGCATGAAAACTTGACTGGTATATACCCTAAAGGCTGCCCCATTTAGACACTTTCCATTACTGGAAATCTTGGCTACAGTGTAATCACTTCCCTCTTTCCATCATCACCATTCTGGGGGGGGGGTGAATAATGAATTTCCCGTGCCCTTGAAATATGGCGTAAATGTGAACTGACAACAGGTCTAATTAATATATAGATAAAAGGAGAAAGCTTCAGGATTTATCACAATGGACTTATAGTTTTTTGGCTTTTAAAACATAATTGTGATTCATGCCGTTTTTCTTTGCGTCTAAAAATTGCGTCAGCTAATTTCAGCGATCTTTTAAATTTTCTATTTTTTTTCATTAAAAATGGGTTCATTCAGATTCCAGACAAACATACTGTAATAAACAAATTACACCATCCTGAAACCAAGAGCATTTGCCCCGAATTAAAATCGGGCTCGAGATTATCTGAAAAAGAACACTTCCGGATCAACAAGGGAAGGGAAAAATGAATGAACTTTCTAAGTTTCTTTAAAAACTGTGAAAAGGTGAGGATTATCATGTAATTTATAGAATTGATTTCAGCCAATTGTTAAAAAACCCTTCTCATTTTTTGTTTTGTAATCGAGATGAATACTGCAAATGGAAGGAACACGTTTTTTTTTTATTTAGGATCTAGGCCCATCACTTGCATCAGTAATATGCCCCTTCACGATAACTGTGGTGTCACTCTTTTACGAGGCAGACTAATAACGTTTGGCGAAGTTTTTGTTGATAGATAATTAAATGACGTCTACATCTACATAGTAGTGTTCCCTCAACCCTTATAACTATACGCTTGCGCTGCGCAAACGGACCACTAAATATTTATCACAATGAAGTATATTATACGTATATAAAACAATAGCTTTTATGTTATATTTTGTCAAAATGTATCATTTTACCCTGCAAGAGTAGTACCACAGTTATAGTGAAAGGGTCTATTGGTAAATTGGCACTAATACAAAAACTGGAAATTCAACCCACTCAACCTGGGACGGCATCCTTAGGTTGATTTTCAATACTTGCGAAGCCAATTTAATAGCAAACTCACAACTTATCAATAGTATAATTCTTTTTAGTACTGTTCAAAACCGTTTTTTAGGTTCATTTGTAAAATATGCAATCTTTTAAAAACATTTTATCAGACTGACAAGATATGTTTTTGTTTACATTTTAAAATCTTGCAAGTCCTGTATCGAAATGCTGACTGGTATTTTCTTTTCAATGATATTGGTAAACACTAGAATCATTGCACTATTTATGAATTGTGAGTTTGACATTTAATTTGCTTCACAAGTATAAAAAATCAAGAAATTCTCAAATCGGCATTTAAATCAAATTGTAAGTATAAAAAAAATCCTCTGGTTGGGAATATTGAAATTTCCAGTTTTCATTAAGGCTCCATTTTGGAAGTTTTCCTGACACAAAAAATATCAAAATTGAAAAAAAAACCTCGAAATCGCCAGACGTTTAGGACTAGTGCCCATCAGGTCATGAAAAGTTTTGATGGCATATGTTCTATATAAAATCTTTTTTTCATTTTATGTTGCAGTAAGGAAGACAAACCTAAATTGGAGTATGCAATCCAAACCAAAAAAGACCAGCACTATGTCGGAATGAAATGGATTAAATGCTAAACATTTTCTTAGTGTGACTTAAGAGTCCATGAGAAGTTTGCTCATGGTCATGTTGGAATTTCTGGAGAAGAAATTAAATGTAGAAGGACAAAGGTATGGCTTAACCTTCTAATCCTGGTTACAAGAATATGTTCTCTGTACATATGAATTTATGATATTAAAATGGTGGATCAATTACCATAGCTTTGAATTTATATCTAAATGATTCCTCCCACTCAAACATTTATGACACATCACAAAAAAATCTATAACTGACCAGCTAAGCATCAACATGATCAAAGTAGAAAATGTTTTCTAAAGAATGCAACAGGGTTCATCTAAAGAAGGAGTAAAAAGAAAAAAAAGTTCATTTATTCATGGGTATTTTTATACTTTGACATATCTCGCTTCAGTCCCAAATGAATACAATTTTTACCTCCATCATTGGAAAACTTCAATCTCAAAACTCTCATATTGTGGTAAAGAATGTACACAGAGTTTAATCAATGTGCCAAAATCTTTTATCTTTCAGCTTGGAAGTGATTGGTCAAAGTTTTAACCAATGAGAGTCAGGATGAAGAAGCTAACCTTAGGAAATTTCGTGCTAGCGGTGCTTTTCTCGCTAGCTGCTCTCTCTGTGTACTCCATGTGGAGCATTCCTGCCATTGAATCAAGTTTGTTGTTAATTAACTTCTAACTACGGACTGTGAGACATTAACAATGCTGAAAGAAATTAAAAGATGACGGAAAGTTTCATTTGTATGCATTTTAATTTATATTCCATTTATCAAATAAGTGGAAATTTTAGCGAGAGGCAAATTTAGCGAATTGTCCCTAAAAATAAGTACATGTATTTTACTTTAAGCAAGTTGTAATTAGTGATTTTCAAATACTCACTTAAGAAGCTATTAGAAATAAAATGCAATAAATTTTGAGCAATATTTAATTTTAGTGATCTCAACACCGTTGCTAATGTTACCGGGTTCACATAGTAACAAGAAAGATTCGATGATGTTCTCAATCTTTTATGTAGCAATAACAAATGTTTGAAATAATTCCAAAAATAAAATCCTTGCTAAAAATTCTGCATATAACATGTATAAGGTATTTATTCCTTAAGTCCACAAAGTTAATAAAGTCTATACAATTGTAGTTTCATTTTAAAAAGAAGAATTCTCCATATCTTTCCACAGGTAGAAAGCTAGTGGCAAGAAAAAACTTCAGGAATGTTCAGGTGATTTTTAAGATACAAAAACTTCCAGCTTGTTTTCAAAGATTTTAAAAGCAGATAATTTTTTCATAAAGATTTTGCATTATATCCATTCATAGAGAAGGAAAAAAGTTGGACATGTAGGAGCACTAAAGTATATTTATGATATTATATTTTGTTTTTTTAGAAAGTCACTTTTTCGCACCCCAATGAACAGCCCCCTGGATCCGGGCTCAAGCAAATCGGAGAAAAAAATTTCGATTACAACCGAAAGGAACGTCTATACAACCTCCGCAAGAAATGCCAGCAAGCGGACGAAGCCAAACTTGTCAAAAAGGACATTCCCGCCAAGAAACTGGGTCACATTATAGTTAATGACCAGTATAAAGTTCTCTACTGTTACATACCAAAGGTTGCCTGCACTAATATGAAGCGGGTGTTCTTGATTCTGACTGGTAAAATGAACAGCACGAACCCACTAGCCCTGAAAAGTAAAGATGTCCATATGGCGTTCGATAAATATCTGACTTACCTGGATTCTTACTCCGAGGAGGAGGTTCAGGAGAAGTTAAAAACGTACAAGAAACTGGTGTTTGTCAGGGAGCCATTAGAAAGACTACTGTCTGCATATCGGAATAAATTCACCGAGAAAAGCCCGTATTTCCATAAGAGGTTTGGAAGGAGGATTATTCGTAGATTTCGAGAAGGATCCAATAAGACCAAAGAAATTTTAGGGAATGATGTTACTTTCTTAGAATTTGTTAAGTATATTACAGATGATGACACTATAGAAAGAGAAGGCTTTAATGAACACTGGGCCCAATATGTATCTCTGTGTCAGCCGTGTTATGTGCAATATGACTTCATAGGAAAATATGAAACCATTGACGAAGATGTGAACTTTGTCTTAAAAGATCTGAAAATTGACCAACTGATTAAATTCCCAAAACGAAATGCCACATACAAGCGATCAAAGACCCAGGATCAGTTGGAGTCGTATTACAAGACAATCCCTAAAGATCTCCTGCAGAGACTGTGGAAGATTTACCACACAGATTACAGCCTCTTTGATTACCCCTACCCAGGGGTCCTGGAGAAATTCCTCGCCCCCCAGGAGGAGGTCTAAGTGCCAAAAACAGGAGGGACGGGAAAATCTTCCACAAATGAGCCAACATTGAATCACCCACTCCATATTATGTTTTCTTCCCCAACATTGAATTACCCACCTTGTATTTATTTTTTTTCCCAGCATTGAATTATCCACCTTGTATGGAGTTTTTTCTCCCAATATTAAATTACCCACCTTATATAAATCTTCTTTTCCATCATTTTAGATTTTATTTACTGCTTTTTTGATTTTGATTTGTTGTTACACGTTACATGTATGTCCCTATTGGAAAGATTTTTTAAAAAGTACACATACCATGGTTTATATGTATTTTTTTATGAAAAGTTTTACTTACTTTGAAATCCAGTTGCTCAGACAATGGCCTATGTGCATTGTATTATTTATGTTAAAAATGAAAACAGACTTTTAAGTAATGATTTACAGTTTGTAATGCATCTAAAAAAAAGTATATTACATGTATTACTTGTCTCAAGTTCAGAGAAAATTTTTGTTTAGTATCTTTTGGTTTCTTTTTTGTTAAGTGAAGGTGAAATTTAAATTTGATATGTAAATGATTGATGGATAATAAATTTTACAGTATGACCATTTAATATAAGTTCAAGGGCAGAAGTAGATTTATTAGCAAGAAGTGAAGGCCAGTTGAGTTTGTTTCTTTTATATATATTGAAATTTTATGTTTGTGAGTCATTTTTTTTTTCCAAAATTTTCACAGCGAACGAAACATTTTTAATGAAAGATAGTCTTCAAGATTTAAAAAAGAAAAGAAAAAATTAATTTTACAAATAATGAAACATTTTGGTTCAACATGTTCAAATATAGCTTAAAATGTTCTTTTCTTTGAGGAGAGCATAAACTTAGATTTGGCTGTAAAATCAAAGTCTGTGTTTTTTTTTTGGTGTTGTAAATGCTTTGTTTAGTTCAATTATTTATAACATGACATGTATAAACAAAAATCTTTGTATAGGTTGTCTAGTCAAGTGAATCTTGTAATGTGAATGTGTTGTCCAAAGAATATTTTTTATTTATACCACATATTTTACAATCTACAAATTTCTATAAGTTTAAAATTATTGTATAAAGTTTTATTTTGTTTGGGACATGATTGATTGTACAAGCATATTTCAAAAGACTGTATTTTTATTTAAATAAAAAACTAGATTTATACATACATATACAAATTGCCTTCATTGTACTGCATATAACATACTCACTGTTGTAATTTTTTTTTACACCAGCAGTTTATCAGTCAGATCATGATAATATGAAGATCTTTCCATTATACAACTTATTGCAGTCCTGCACAGTACTAAGTACTTCCTGTTTAAATGGAAATGTGTTCATTTAGCTGCAAGTTCAATTCACCATCACTATATGCAATAATTCTTTATGGAATCCATTTGTATATCATGCAATATTTTGATTCTTTATATTTTGTTTTTACTGAAAGTATGTACAATGTTTAAATAATCCATATTTTTTGGAGCTATTTTATGAAATCCATGACAAAATATTATAAATAAATGTGATCTTAATTTATTAATAATTTTTCAGGGAACTAGACATCAATTAAAATAATAGCTATTTTTCAACCACGACATAAAATCCCCATGAACCTATATATTTTCCTCGAGCCATGAAATATTATGATTTTATAATAGTCTAAAATACATGTACTAGAAGTTGCATTTTTTAAAATGGTGGTATACATCTTGAATATTGACAATTTTTATATCCTTTTATTGTTAAAACCAATATGTGACATGTATGAATCTCTGACATCAGAATTCTGAGTGGTCAACAAATTGCCCACCAGATCCACTGTATATAAAATACATGTATATGATTTTCCTAGCCATAAATCATTATTATTTGGTAAAGAATAAATCAAAATAATGTAAAGGTCTTATATCTAATACAATGTAATGCATTTTGAGACAGAACTCTTCCATTTCAGGTGGTTTATATAGTCTATAAAGTATGATCATCACCCCAAATTTTCTTAATGAAGCTCTGAAATATTACTTTTATTTATTTTTAAAAAGGATAATGTATACATTTTGATTTCCTAAAAATTAGGACAACATTTTTTTTTCTTAAAACTGATTATGATAAATAATCCAATCATTGACTTTTGCTCCCTACTCAAGTTGTGTATTTATTCTTTATTCTTTAAGATTTTTATTTTTCAATATTGTCTTCTTCAAAGAAGCTTTTTGCATGAGTATAATTTATGAATTGTTCTTATTTTTCTTTGATATACATGTGTACTATTGATCTTCATTTCCACTGTACACTGAATGTACTCTCTTTTATTTACTTATATTTACTTGTAAGATCACATTATTCTTCAAATGTTTATTTTACTTCACTGGTCAATAAACATTTATTGCATTGTTTCTTCCTTCTTGATTTTGGTTTGCAAGTACTCATGTACTGATGTGGAATGTAAATAACAAAAAATTGTACCATTAAAATGTCAACTTGCTGAAACCCTTACACTTACTGTTTATAAGTTAAGTGTGGCCAATGTTTTTTTTTTATACCCCCGCTCCGAAGGAGAGGGGGTATACTGTTTTACCCTTGTGTGTCTGTCTGTCTGTCTGTGTGTCCGTCCGTCCGTAACAAATTTTCGTCGCAGTTTTCTCAGCAACTACTCATCATAGATGCTTGAAATTTTAACACAATCTTCTCTGAGGCATGTCATATGGTGGGATACATTTTTGCTAAAATCCGATATCAACTTCCTGTTTCTGCGTCTGTCCGTTTCATACATAACAAATTTTTGTCGCAGTTTTCTCAGCAACTACTCATCATAGATGCTTGAAAAATTTTAACATAATCTTCTCTAAGGTATGTCATATGTTGGGATACATTTTTGTTCAAATCGGATATCAACTTCCTGTTTGTCTTTGCATCTGTCCGTTTCATACATAACAAATCTTCGTCGCAGTTTTCTCATTAGCTATTCATAGCGGATGCTTGAAATTTTATTGCACTCTTTGTTGAGGCATGCCATATGGTGGGATTAATTTTGATATGAATCTGATGTCAACTTCATATTTTTCTGTGCATCTGCCTGTAATTGAACTTGTGTATATTAACATGATAGTGCTTATTTACATCAGAGCGAAGGTATTACTAGTGAGCATTGGCTCACAGATTTCTTGTTCATTAAAATAGAGCTACAGCAAACTCCAAGGTCAAGGTAAAAAACAAATGGTGCCCAAGGAAACATAAATCTTGGCACATGCAATGCATCATGTCATGTGAAATACAAGAGTTTGCACCCCATCGTCGCAAACCATGGCCAAAATGTACACTCCTCTCCCATTCTGGCAGTGGTTGAATGAGCAGAGAATTCTTTGTAGCTCATTAAAATATTGACCAATGCGAGTAAAGCATAGTCGGATGGTGAACTTTCCCTAACAAAAAAAATTATAGTTAACTATAGTTTACTAATCAAAGTTTTAGTAAAAGTTTTTCAAAGTGTCAAAGTTTTCGCCAAAGTTTTTCAAAGTATCAAAGTTTTCGTCAAAGTTTTTCAAAGTGTCAAAGTTTTTGCCAAAGTTTTTCAAAGTGTCAAAGTCTTCGCCAAAGTTTTTCAAAATGTCAAAGTTTTCGCCAAAGTTTTTCAAAGTGTCAAAGTTTTCGCCAAAGTTTTTCAAAGTATCAAAGTTTTCGTCAAAGTTTTTCAAAGTGTCAAAGTTTTTGCCAAAGTTTTTCAAAGTGTCAAAGTCTTTGCCAAAGTTTTTCAAAGTGTCAAAGTTTTCGCCAAAGTTTTTCAAAGTATCAAAGTTTTCGCCAAAGTTTTTTAAAGTGTCAAAGTTATCACTATAGTAAATCAAAGTTTTCAAAGTGTCAAAGTTATAACTAAAGTTAACTATAGTTAACTATAGTTAACTTTAGTATTTTTTGTTAGGGTTATCGCGACCTTTCAATATCCAATCGCAGTATAGGAAATATTTCTTGTATACTGTTGACATCAGTTGTTGATTTCGATTGCGATGGAAACAAAACTTGCCACTGACCAAATATGACGTCACAATAGAGAGGCGGACTCCGGACCATGGCTTGAGACGATGATTGCACCCATCATCAAATGTTTTAATTTTTCAAAAGTACATGTGTACGTCTAACTCCATGGTCAAGGTTAAAAAGTAAAATCAATTGAAACATAAAGAATGGTCTTGTCACTAGAAATACACCTTCGAAATATGAAACCTTAGGCCTATTCCTAACCATTCATAAATTATGGTAAAGGTTAATGTTTATTTTAAAGTAGGAGAAACTATAAGTTCAAAAAACTAATATTATATAAATTGATGTTAATTTGGTTCCTTTAATACTTACCAACAAACAATATTGTGTAACTAAATTGATAATTGCTTTTCAACTGATTCAAGTTTACATTTCAAGGTTTCTCATTATCGAGTAATATACATATTTTACTGGTTTAAAATGGTTCATAATTGTTCAGTATTCCTTCATCATACATCATGTACATTGAATACCGATTTTTAAAAACCATTATAGCTAAAACATGAAACATCTATTTAAACTTACAGTTACTAAAATATTGCTTTTAAGTTGTAATATTGGTAAAAATTGAAAAACAAAAATTTTGATATTTCAACATGGGTAACCATATAAAGATTTTTAAAGCTGATAGAAATCCACAAGCCAATGTATACATGTATATGTATAAATAACAAACGACAATAGAATGTTAACAATAAAATAAGCTGTTTACTCAATATAAACAATCAATGGTATAAATGACATTTCATACAATGTAATTCCACAGGTACTTGTGGACAGGACCCCTACCTTGAATTTTTTTTTTTTTTTACATTTTGTATTTATTACACTTCCTTTTCAAATATACAATGCGAAAAAATGAGTTAAAACTCCAGATAACCGTTCCGTACAAAAGGGGTATTTTTTGTACGGAACGGTTATCTGGAGTTTTAACTCATTTTTTCGCATTGTATATTTGAAAAGGAAGTGTAATAAATACAAAATGTAAAAAAAAATTCAAGGTAGGGGTCATATATTGGGGGGGGGGGGGGGGTCCTGTCCACAAGTACTTGTGTGTAATTCTAGAAAAACAAGTGTTCTAATATCAAATTTTGTCATTTTCTTTTTACATATATGTGAGGAATAAAAATAAAAATAGCAATCAAGCAAAAAGTTAATTGGTGCAATTCAGAAAACATTAGAGGTTGGCTCAGTCTTGAAATTGGTTCCAACAAAAAAAAATCTCAGTTCAGATCTCAGGCTCAAGTCGTAAAGATTTCTTGACAACTGAGATTTTCCTCATAGGCCCTGCTACCAACTCATTGTTATATGTTACATTTTTCTGCACAGTTGATTCAAATTAACCTTTTAATTAATCATTTCGGAAATATTTTGCAAGTCTGAGTTTAAGACACTGTATTTGTTCGATGGCACAGTTTGGCGGGGGAAAATTAAAATTTTCTGATAAATCTCAGTTTGGGTGAGAAAATCTCAGCATTGTTAACCCCGAATTTACGTATAATGGAGGAGAATGCATCCCCCTGTTGATTGACAAGACTTCATTCTTCACGTGCATGTCTTGGCATCGATGTGTCTGAAGAACCTTGATTGTGGACTGTTTGACGGGGTTATACACAAACATTGTACCGTAGATGAAGACTCAAGCTATCCGTTGTATGGGACAGGATCAAAATAACTACGAACTGTTTGCGTTCCAGGAGGCGCGGATCCCAATGACCCTTCATAGGGTGGTGGACACACAGGGTTTGGAGCAGGCTGGTAGACCACGTTTCCATCAAATGTATTTTGAGCTGGAAAAAAAGAAATCAAAAAATGCAGTCAATAAAACTGATATTTACTGATCTATCACGCGGCTTTCATTTCAAGAACTTTTGCTTACTGGATAACTAAAGTTAAATTGTTTTCATATCCCTTGATTTCACCCATTTCTTATATGCTAAATAACTTTTAATTTTTTGTAAATTTTAGATTTAAAAACATCATCTAGAGTATACTTCTAGTAAAAATATTTGAATAGAATAATCCATTACAAATATGGGGTAGAACATGTATAAGTCTTAAGAAAATAATTTTAAAAAGTAAGATATGAGTACTAGTACTTGAATTGATGTTAGGTTGGATTGGTCTGACAATCACGTTTCCGTCATTTTTCTTCTTGCAGACTTTAACATATATAATCACCACGATGCACACAAGGATCACAAGTCCTACGATACCTCCAATGACAGCTCCAGTGATCACCCCGGTGGACGCAGAACTGCAACAAATTAAATGACAGTAAAAAATTTTCTACTGAACCATCAGTTAACTGCTTCAGTTATTTTCCCTTCTACTGAAAATGTATGAATCGTATCAAATCAGAAATACAAAGAACAGAAAACATGCTCAAAGTCCAATATAATAGTTCGAATTGGAACACAGAATTTTAAAAAAATATTTAGAAGTGGGATCAGGCGTCATGGAGGTTCAAGTTTCCCCTGTCGACTGGTCATCTGTCACGTGCTTCTTGTCATGATAGAGAAATCCGGAAACAATTCAGCATGTGAATTGGACTATCAATTTGTATGTTAAATGTCATTCAGCATTTGACTCAGTGATAGATTGTACTTTTTTGACAAACTCATTAAATTGACAAGACCATAGAACTTTGAATTTTTGATATTCTTACATGTATTTCTAAATTGGTTGCCTCGTTTTACAAATTGTTTATTTTCTTCCGAGAGATGGACAGACGAATACGATTTAATGCACCCTCACTTTTTCACTCAATATACATTGTTTTGTTATATTTCAACTACTGCGGTAGCCTAGCCAGATCACTAGTGCCCTGTTCACAAGGAGAGTTTAATTCGCAGTAAATTATGCCCTGTTCACACGACGAGTTTAATTCGCAGTAAATTAATGTGAAGTGAACTAATGCAAATCAAACTAATGCGAATTAAATTTCGTTCACACGACAGCTAATGCGAAGTAAACTAATGCGCATTAAAATAATTATTTTTACTTCTGCAGCTCGGCGTCAGCACGGCTATTATTACGTCATTAGCAAATCACGTAACCTTATGCAGAAGCAGATCCTTTTGACATAATGGCAAAGTGTTTCTATACACATATTAAAGATTAACAAAATTTTCCTTAGTTTTTCACTCAAAAATAACACAGATAACTGTACCTATAGCTGACCACCGACAAGTGGCATTTGACTAAATTTTGCCATTACACATGCGTCAGAATTTAATTTGAATTAGCTTGGCTTAGCGTTCACACGGAGCTAATGCGAAGTAATTTAATGCGCAGTAAATTAATTCGAATTAAACTAATTCGCATTAAATTCTCCGTGTGAACGCTAAGCGAAGCTAATTCGCAGTAACTTTATGTTTAATTCGAATTAAACTCTCTGTGTGAACAGGACATAGGATTACATAAATAATACTGCAGTGTTATTTGTTGCTCATTTCTGATGACTATTCAAAACATCATAAAACACAAGCAGAAAACTTTGCAATTTCTTCACATTATGTCAAAATTATTTTGTCTGTAGGCATTGCAGTGATATCTTAGGTCGACAAGTGCGAAATAAAAAAAATTAAGATTTTCTAATTTGTTGAGAAATCTTAGTAATTTGAAACTTTTGTCTTGACAATTTCATAATTTATACTCAATAATTTGTCCATTATTTTTTTTCAGTCTGAGACATTTTTAGCATTTTTAGACAAAAACATTTGTACAATTTGGCATGATTCCATGAAAAAATCATGGAAATTGAGTTAAAAATGACTCCACAACAAGTTTTTATGAAAATTGGTTTTTCATTCCAACGTATAGGGTAAAATTAATACAATGATGACTCACTTGTGGCCCTAAACTGTACCTAGATGCAAGACCAGTTACACTTTTAATTTTAATTTTAAATGCCTTACCTACTGTAACTGTTCTTGTAATAGGAATAGTAGATACAGTAATAGAACTTGTATCCGTTAACTGAATAGTAGGAGTAGCAGTAATTCCCACGTGCACATTGAACAGGACTGAAAACTAAAAAAACATATATTAATAAATATACAGGAAAAAACAAATATAAAAATATTAAGGTTATGATAAAAAGAATTTCATGACAAGGAGCACACGGCGGGTGAGACCAGTCGACAGGGAATGCACCGTCACTACTCCATGGCATCTGATCCTACCTCTGATGTTTCGGAGGTCAATCCATGTTTCCTCTGCTCCTGTTTTGTATTGATTTATTGACTTTTGAGCTTGAATACATTTATTTTTATAAATTTCATTTAAAGAAAAGAAAAAGAAAAGAAATAAAAATTTAAATAAACTCACACGTTAAAAGAAGAAATTTCAGAATGGTGAGCCATCGATTGGTGTTGCTATCGGTGTCCATGCCTTTTGATGATGATGTTGTTGTTGTTGCCTTTCTAAATGTCTTGTGTTGTTGTCTGATCCAAAAATACACATAAATGGTCTCAACAGAGGTCTTCCAAGAGATATGTGTTTTAAAATACAGGACATAGATAAGAAGGATTTTAAATGCCTTCTACATATGGGTGCATATTACACAGTCAGATAATATTCAGCCAAGTACACAAGTTCTTATCCTTATCATCTAAGTACACTGGTACTAAACTTTTTTTTTTTTTAGACATTATTTATCTCTTATATCATTTGAAAGACTATATGTTTTTTTGTTACTTTCATTTTTATGGTGTAAAGAAAGTCTTACATGTATACGATAGAACATATATATATATATATATATATATATATATATATATATATATATATATATATATATATATATATATATATATATATATATATATATATATATATATATATATATATATATAAAACTTATTAATATACTTCCTTTCGTTTTGGCACCCACTTGATAAGATAGTATGTGCAGGAAAGTTGAAACATGAAACTTATACTTAATATTTTCTCAAATTAAATTGACATATTTATATATAAATATTCGTTAAAAGGCAGAACAAGTATTACACAGCCAATTGCTCCTACCTGAAACATTAAAATCAAGATAATATTAATTTATGTTAGATATGTAACGTTGATAACTTTTCAAGAACTTACATTTAATTAACATGAAGATGAATTAAACTTACATTTAATTAACATGAAGATGAATTAGCATGAAAATCATACGCTGATTTTATGTTTATCCTTTTATTTTAACTTAACGTGATCCATTAATCATATCAATATCAATAGACATTAAATCAAAGTTAATTTAGGTCAACAATTAAGTTTTGCTCTTTTTTCAGTTTTAACAACAAGAGCAATTAAAGAACAAAAATGAGCATTGCTATAACGATCAATGTTATGCAAGTTAATGCAATACTGAGTATGTTTTAATACGTAAGTATATTTATTTAAACAATAAAATGCTTTCTTTGTTTGTTGTTACTGGAATTAACTGAAGCAGCTGTTGCAGGAAAAAAAAATACATAACCCGCGTAAGCGGGTAATATAATTTTTTCTGCAATTTGTTTCGGGTCCTGTCGTTCATTGACTGGACTAATAGCTGCGACCGTTAATTCCAGTAATAACAAACAAAGAAAGACATTTTATTATTTATATTTAGGCTATATCTGTTTAAATAATCATTTGAAGTGGGATTAAAAAGATTAATTATTGTATTAATGATGCGAACGTCTTTATACATTTCATTGATGGAACAGCCACTGAATAAGAAATCTGTACAGGCGACATGCCTAATGTAGTTCATGCATATATTAAATAAAGGAGAAACTATTCAGTAGATGTAAATATATATTTAATACACACTGATTATTTTCCTTTCATTGAACAAAAAATACCAGGAACGTATAGTTAATTCAAATATAATTTTTGACATTAAATTAGAATACTGGAGGTCCTGGATAAGGTGGCGGCAACACAGGGTTAGGACCATACTGGTAGATTATGCATTCATCATATATGTTTTGACCTGCAAACACAAACAAATCGAAAATTAATGTAAAATTCATTGAAAATATGCACCAGATATACAGGTTTCATCATTGTACCATCACAAGATTAATAAGGATTGTTGAAGGAAGGTTGAATTTTGAGCATTATAGAATGTTTATAAATTCTTAATATTTTAGAAATTTGTGAAACACATAATTTACAACCTTAACAGGTCAGAAAATATTTATCAATCCATGCACCAATATTTCTGTTTGCCCTTAAAGCAATTGAATACAATATGCACAGAACACATAATTATAAAAAAGAAGTGTCTTGCAACACTCAAACTTAAGAAAGAACATGTAATGTGTTACCGAGAAATTTGAAATACATGTATTCAAATGAAATAGAGTAAGGTTTGATTACCTGAAATGATGTAAGACACGGTAAAACATACCACAGATTCTGACACATCTGTTTCATATTTTGATATTTTACTTTAAAAAGACGTTAATCTAACAACCAACCAAGCTCTATGATATACCTGATGTTTTAAACTTTACAATCGTCAACTTCCCTTACTTATGCAGCAATATACCTTCATCACATGCATACGGAGTTTATATATCTCAGTTGATTCAACACGCAAGAACATGCTCTACCTATGAACAATTTCTAAAACGGGGTAAATTAATAAACGTACAAGTTGATGAAACAAGAATATCGACAGTCTCGTTTAAATTCATCATTTCGTAAGTTGTATGGTCGATACAATGAACTTGTCAGCATACATAATTTGTCATTGAGTCAAATGCTACTGACATTTTTTCATACTAATTGCTAGTCCATTATTTATACATAAATTGACGACGAATTTTTTTCGTTATTTTCCGATCATGACTAGGAGCATACATGTACGACGGGTTTGATCGGTTGGCAGGGAAGGCTCACTCCTCCATGGCACCCTATCCCACCTCTGATGTTTTGGAAGTCCGTGTTTGCTCTGCTCCTTAATTGTATTTTGTATTGTTTTATTTATTTTGATCTTGAATACTGTTTGTTATATCCATATGCTTCATCGTATGTATGAAAAAAGTCCTGTTATACACCAATGAAAAGTTGTGTATTTCAAAAAGTTTAAATCATAAACTTTTGTGCAAATTTATCGTTCCTTTTTCGAATATATTTTATATCTTTTTATAAGAGTCTAAAATATGATTCTCTGATTTTTCTACAATTTATAATTTAAAATTAGATAGTTTGAAATCAATTATATCTACAGTGAATAATACGGCTTTGTAGATTATGATAGGATCTTCAATTATTTGTAGTTGGATATGATTTATATTCAGACAATTGTGTATATTTTTTTTAAATATCTGAATCTTGGCGAGAGGATAAAAACTAAAAACAAATTGGATTTAAATTATACCCTGAAATTTTCCCTATATAGAAAATATTCTACAATAAATATCTAAGCTGCGAAAATATTTTTTCTCAATACATTAAATACAAAAGTACAGAGAAACCATGTCCAAAAATCATTTTTGACGTCATAACTATGATATATCAACTAAAAAGTCCATGGATTGATATTAACGAAGGGTAAACATTGGGGAACACTTTTAAAACACAAGAATTTATTCTCTATTTATGTTATCGTGTCTTAGCAAAATGATTTCACATCAGTTTAACCTCCGTTGGGTTTCTTCGCATGCCTAATGGAAGAGGGAAATATTTTTTTCAATAATGGAATTTAAAAAAAAAAGAGAAGTTCGAGAATCTGTTGTTTCAGATAAGTTTTGTTAGCAAGCTATCGTCGGATAATTTTCAAGCAAGGTCATTTAATCAAGTTGTGAACGTATTGTACCCACATTTAAAATTTTTCAAAGTTTAAAAGTTTTTGTTTTAATATCCACCATCCTTTCCTATGAAAGAGAACGCATCGCTTTAATTCCAATATATGAAATTTATTATATTCACTAAATACATGTTTAAAATAAAATATAAAATCTGAGTGTCATCTTTGTTGTAAAGATCATCCAATTAAAATACAGCCTTAAATGATGAAAGAAGTATGATTTCAGACAGATCTATACAAACAGCAATGTCAAACATTTTTGTTTATTTTGTATTCTGTTCATATATATCCACATATCACACAATATATGTGTTAAAAGATCCCTAACAAACAAATTTTCTTTACAACAAAGCACCTGTTTGTGTATATAAATCCTAATTCATTTTGCATTTAATGCTCAGCAATTACGTAAAATTCAGTCACTGCTTTCCCAATGTCAATAAATTGTCTAAACGGGTATTTTTTAAAATGTGAATAAAGTTCTTTGAATCACCTAATACCGAACATCTTTTTGCATGTATTAATCCTTTCAACGTTAATAAAGTGACATTAATCTGTGTATTGCATTTAAATTTGAACTGATTTTTCTTTATTTCCTTCACTTTACTCCATGAGTAATTTTAGGCAGATTGCCCAGCGTATGCTGTTCCTTGAGGCCCTTGATTGTTAGGAGGGTAGACGAAGTTATACTCCGGTGGTGCCGGAGGCCCCGATGGGGGCGGTGCCTGGTAAGGAGGGGGTAGGTAGGGGTTAGGCGCTGGATGGTAACCACTGGGTCCTGAGCCATAGGCGTTATTAGCTGAAACAGAGTATTGTAAAATATCTCAAAATTAATCATTCTCATTTTGTATTTAAAAAAATTAGTGCTTTATATACATTTTATTAACATTTTTGGATTGGATAAAAAAAGCTAAATATAAGAAGTATAATGCTGAATACTTACAGAAAATAAATAAAAACATGGATTTTAATACTTGAATGGACGAAGGAAACCGTTGGTTGTGAGGGCTGGACAATCACTCGTCCATGGTTAGTTGTCTTGCAGACTTTCACACATACAATGACCACAATGGTTAATAATATTATAAAACCTACAATTCCGCCAATGATCGCACCAATAATGGTTCCCACCGAAGAGTAACTGCTGTAAATAATACAATTATACATTGTCATAAACGTAAAAGGATAATGTAGATTAGAAAAAAAAACTGAAATATAACAAAAAAAACCCCCATAAATTTCTAATTAATATGCTAGAGAAATTCATTATCGTGTAAATTTCGAATGAAGATGCACGTGCAGAATAAAATATCTACCATTTTATTCTTAAGTTGTTGTAATACTTGTAAAATCTGTGGACCAAAAGACCAATTGCGAATTTATGTTCCTGTGATTTGTTACTAACTGTGATACAGCGATATAAAGTATTCACGAAAGATAAAAAAATTACTGTCAGTCAAATTGACCCAAATCATTCAATTTTGAAAGAGAAAGTTAACTTACCTGTAATAATAATAGTAGTAGTAGTAGTAAAAACAGTAATAATACGTTAATCCAGCATAGGAACTGTAGTAGTAATAGCAATAACTAGAACAATGAATGACGGTTAACGCTGAAAAATATATGGGGAGTTGACGATAATTTATGATAGTGTTGTTTATTTATCGTGAAAACTCAAATCGTAACATATTGTTGAATTATTATCATAGAAAATAATTTTAAAAATGTGATTTGAAGTCCGAAATTTTGTTTACATTGAAATACTTACATGTACACAATGACAGGATAAACAACCAAAATATCGTCATCTTCCTTCATGTTTGGTGACTAGTTTAGAATTGGTAGAACAAACTTGTGAGTGCGACTGAATGAACACTTCCTGTTCAAAGCTTTCACGCATATTTGTTTTTTTTTATGTATATTTGTTTTCTGAATAACAACTTCGTTTCGATGTAAAACTTCTTGTTCTTTACAAATTTGGCAAATATCTTGTTGACGTAATGGTGCATTGTGCAACTAAATAAAAATCAATCTTGCACGATTTTCTTTTCAATTGAGAAGTTCTTGGTAAACATTATAACCTGAATACACTTCTGAGTTTTTTAAATCACCTATAGAATTCACATTGTCCCATTTTCATGCAGCAGAAACATTGGAAGTCTAAGAAGTCCTAAACTCACCTTCGAGATTTGTTTTGTTTTAAAAGAAATTGTCAAACAATGTTCCTTATGCAGAAAATATCGTTGATTATCGGGGTCTTTTTTCATAATTGAGAATATTTTTCGTTCAATGAAGTGAGATATTGCCCTATTTAATTAAAATATGTACCATAAATTCGTTTACTGAGCAAACTAGGTCTTTTAGATACATCATTTTTATTCAAAGAGTGATACCGCCAATTATATGTTAATATACCTTAGCATATCCAAAAAAAACTTCAATTGTAAAATTTAATGACCATGCAAATAGCCATTTAATCCTGTCCAAATAATTGTAAATCTTTGATTTAATTTGTACTCAAGTTTGAACTCATATATAAATAATGATTAAGTTTTATATCATTACTATTTTTTTTTATTTCAAAACAATTGCATCGAGAAACATCTAACATGCTTTTTTTTATTGAAGACAAAAAAATATCATTATTAAAATCTTTATTCGCCGTAACAAATCACATACAAAGAATCAAAGAAAGGAGGGAGCGGTGTGTTTCTTCCACCTCTGCCCATGATACATGTATATTAATCATTTTAATCAAAGATCAGATTACACGCTAACAATTAGTCTTGTTTAAGTTTCCCTTTGATGCAACGGCGACAAAGCACCCTAAAAATATATATTATCAAATATATAATTGATAGAGTTAAGATGGATAATAAAAGAAAAATGTCTAGTCCAAAGTATTTGTAGTCAGATAGAGCATGGGATGAAGACCGAAGATGAGAACTTCCGAAGGCGGTCACGTGATGTACCCAGTATGCCGCTCTCTGAGATGCGTTCAGTGGTTTTGATCTGTATATTTCTGACGCGATCTTTATTTTCTTTGAGTAAGTCCCATTGTAGACAACTTCCCTTATACTCCTCTCCAATGCCTCCGAAGTTAATGTGTTGTGATTTAGCTTCACACCGAACGATTTAATAACGATTCTATCAGCATTATATTCCTGGTCACCAGAAATCGGTATTGCAATCATAGGTACTCCATGATATAGTGCTTCATATTGCCCACTGTTTCCACAGTGCGTTATGAATGCCTTGACTCTTTTGTTGGCAAGAAGGTCATACTGAGGTAACCAAGGAACACTTAGAATATTCCTTTCCTGAAATTGGGACTTATCTATTTTTGCAATAAAATGTATTTCTGGAACCTTCTGAAATGCTTTGAATAGAATATCTTTGAACTCCTTTGGCATGATTGATAGGCTTCCAAACGTTACAATGACTACACCGTCCTTAGCAGCATCAATATGGCGTTGAATCTTGGTTGGGAGAGGGTTCAGTGAATTTGATAACGACATTCCTCCTACAAATGCTATATTTGGAAGTGAAGGCCTCGGGTAATCTAGAACTTCGTCCTGATCCATCAAGTAAAAGCTAAAAGAGTTCGTCTTCTTGTAAAATTCTTCCATGCTAGATGCTGAAAGATATTTGCGAACAACATCGTCGGGAAAGAATAACGATTTGCCAAATGTCCCGATCAGGATCATTCCTATGCGCATAAGAGTACTTTGTAAACGTGACATTAATGAATTAGAATCAGGAATCGGGAACACAGGTAAATCGGGAATAGCAAGATAATCCGAAGGAATTCTATAGATCGTGTAAGGAAGGAATCCTGAAGCACAATGAATAATCTCTGGAATGGATAATTGTTGTGCAATAATAAGGAATGGTAAAGAAAGCATTGGATCAATAATGACCGTCTTAAATTGCTGACCCTCCAGTTTCTTGAAAATATCAGAGTCTGACATGTACAGGTGTGTAATGTTGACCATTATGCTTTGCATCTTCTGTCCAAGGGATAGAAAGCTCTTATTTTGAAAACTGCCTTCCACAGCTATATTCACAAGTTTATCAATCTCTTTTGAGATGTTCCCCTTCTTGTCATAAGTGACAATGTCGCTCGAGAGGTCTTTCAACCCTGGGTGTTCTGCGAGTGTTTCCGTGACTAAAAAGGTCACGTTATGATTGTACTGACCAATGAGAATGTCCACCATGCCCTTCATTGGTCTCAGGTGACTGTATCCCGGGCCTGGTAGAACAAGGATGTTGTCCGAAGATACAATCTCTATGTTTACCGAAAGGTACATGATAAATAAAACACGGAATAGGCAGGTTCTTTTTACCATCTGTAAAAAATAGTAACAATATTGTATTTGTAAATCCTGATGGTCATTCCTTTGTTTTAAAAAAATAATGTTAATGTGTAAAACAAAAGTACAATTCCTATAGTGATAATAGGAAAAAAATGAACACGTCTCAGTCATATGGAGAATGTACAAATAAGATTGATTTAATAAGGAAAGCGCATATTAATTTAAATTAATTGGAATACAATAATTAACAATTGACATAATTCATAATAAAAAATCCTAGGTCCGCCCGTTAAAAAATATGGTCAAAGTTCACGTTCTTCTAAATTCATGGTCCAACATTAAAATTACACTTCGGTAAATGTTTGTCAAAGGATTTCAAACTTTGGAATCCAGAGGCAATAAATATTTAATTTGTTACACATTTTTGAAACACGAATGTCTTAGCATCAACCATTAAAACAGTCAAATTGGTCAGTACTTAACAAATATAATTTAAGAATAGAAATTAATTAAAGGGTTACATGTAAAAGGTTCTTGATATATATATATATATATATATATATATATATATATATATATATATATATATATATATATATATATATATATATATATATATATATAATAGAGAGATTATGTAATAAGGTACTTTTCTACAGACAACACCCTTCCAAAAAAGTCCAAATCGTTGAATTATCACAAAATGAAATAATTTAAGTGACTTTCATATTTGAATATATGTTTTAAGGCAGAAAAAATCAGCTCGTTTTTTCATCAGCATTATTTTTCTAAGCCCCTGATCCAGTTTCCTACATCTTGCTGTCAATGTTTATGTTTTTGTTTAGGTAAACCACTGTTTGTTGTCGTTTAAAAATTATGTTATGGGTAAAAAGTATTTCCACGTACCTTCTTACTTCTACACATCCAACTTATGAGTTGTCAGCATGAGATTCCTAGAGGGTTTGCAATATTCGTTTGATTCTTTATGGGTTATATTCCACATGCCATTGAAATGTTTTTAGCATAAAAGGTCAAAAACTGTAACGGTTCACTCGCCGACTTGTATGATTGTAACTGGATGTATTAAGAATGTCCACTGACGTGTAACGATTTTGGCTGGAATGGGATTTGGGATACCGGGATGAATAAACTAAATTATTTAAAGAAAAAAATAAAGAAAAAAAATCAATAACTCGGTTTATTATAGGTTTACTGGTTTCAGATAATTTATGAAAATACAAAACACTTAAATTATATCAAAATTATATATGCCTCAAGGAATATTTGGGTTTTTTTTTATAATTGGAAAGCTTGAACACTGGCATTTAATAGCTGCCTACATCAAATTCAAAATTTTCGACTATTGTATTCTGTGTGTGACTTTAGTGTCCAAACATAACATGCTATTACATTGAAGGGCATTGCGTACATGTGTGGATACTCCTTAGCATGACTTTAATTCCTCACAATTTATAAGAGCACAAAATGGTTGTTATAGGTACAATTCATTTGAAGTAAGATACAATTATTTGAAGATAGGTCCAGATATTTTAATTTATGTTAATTTGGCGTTCCATAAAATAAGGGTCGTTGACGAATGAAAAGTTGAATACAAATAATGTTTATCATAAACATTTGTTTTTGGTTAAAATTCTAAATATAAAGTATAGAAATGTCATCAAATTCTATGACATCTTTTATTTTAAAGGTAATTGATATATGAAATCTACATATAAATTGAAGCTACTATTTCACATGTAATATATGTCCTACGGATTGTTATAAAAATATTAAGTCTCCAATTCATACACTCTAAATATTGTCATTTAGAAACCCCCATGCAGCATTTCGTTAGCCTTAACTTCAGAGTACTTGCGAGTATACAATGAAAATGTACCATTCAAATCAAATGACTTTGCAAATGACAAGGTACGTATATTAGTGAGTTCCATTCACCTGTTTTCTGTATTTATCAATCTAAAAGTAGCGACGGCGTCACGTGATAGATTTATTTAAAAATAGCTATTTTTCTTTCCTTGCAGGATAATAAATATTTATAATTTGATAACTTTGCAACGCGTTTAATTTTAATGGTGTAATTTACAGTATCTTCGTAACTTTTATTGATAAACAAATAATATCAATTTCCAATCGTATTTTAACTGGCGCAAGTTATAGCATGTATACTTTTAAGGTTCATTTAAAGTAGAATATATGACGAAGGAAAGTGCGGTTAAATGTGAAGCTAACTTCCTTGTCGGTTGTTTATGATACAGGTTTACCTTGAACCCACTGTAACGATAATCATGATAATGATTACACTGAAAATAAATCATAGAAAGAGAGACAGGACATGTTTTCAAAAGAAACAGGCATCATGTTTATAAAATTTATAAAAGCTACCCTATAACCTTTTGATCTCAGTCTCACTTTCACCAAAGGAATACAGTGGAATATGGTGGAAAATTGAGACTGAGATCAAAAGTGAGCTCGTCTAAGTTTTATTGGCACCAGGCCTGGAACCAAAAATAGAGGTTAGAATGATACAGAACATAAACATCAAACTCAACTCTTGTTATATGTACATGAATTGTCTCATTTCCAGTCTCTCATTATCTCTGAAATATTTATAATGTAAATAAAAAACCGCCACATGCATGCACACAGTAATTTTATATTTTAAAAAGATGAAACCATCAGTTATTATGACTTTATAGTGATACAGTTCTTTTTGAATTATATCATTGAATGATAATAATACTGTGTAACAATATATAATTTTTTAAAAACATTTTATGCATATAATGTCATTGTGCCCAAAAGTTTTTAGAATATAACAAGAGTGTGGTTAAATAAGTAAGGAGGAAGGCTGGAACGATAATCATGATAAGTTATGTTATAAAGCGAAATTAAACAGCATAATTTAAATACTGTAGATCACTTAATTTTCGCGACACCTTATTTTCGCGAGATAGTGATACAGAATTGACTCTTTATTATGTACAAAATTTTCACGAATTGTCTCATTGCTGTTTATAATCTAAAAAAGGAATGCACTAATTTTATATTTCGCGAGAATGGAATTTTGATAGTGATACAGTTCTTTTTAATTTACATTGAATGATAATAATAAAACCTGCGAATAAAAAGTGATTTACAGTATGTTGAATCAATCTGTTTTAAGTTTCCTTTTAAAACAGTAGTTCAAAATTATTCTCAAAACATACACAAACAAATATATGACTGAGAGAAATAAAATGAATAACAAAAGTATAATGTCTAGTCCAAAATATTGGTAGTCAGGTAAAGAGTGAGATCGGGAACGAAGATGAGAACTTCCAAAGGCGGTCACGTGATGTACCCAGTGGGCAGCTCTCTGAGAGGCGTTCAGTGGCTTCGATCTGTATATTTCTGAAGCGATCCTTATATTCTTAGAATATTTCTCATTGTAGACAACTTCCCTTATGCTCCTCTCCATTACTTCTGGGGTAAGTGTGTTGTGATTTAACTTTATACCAAAAGATTTAATAACTATTCTGTCAGCATTATAGTGTTGATCACCAGCGATGGGTATGGCAATCATGGGTACTCCATGATACAGTGCTTCATATTGCCCACTGTTTCCGCAGTGTGTTATGAATGCCTTGACTCTTTTATTGGCAAGAACGTCATTTTGAGGTAACCAAGAAACGGTGAGAATGTTCTTTTCCATGAAATAGGACTCATCTATGTTGGCAATCAAATTTAGTTCTGGAATGTTTTGAAAAGCTTCAAATATAGTACTTTTGAATTTCATTGGCATGTTTGATCTGCTTCCAAAAGTTGCAACGACTACTCCGTCCTTTGCGGAGTCTATATGGCGTTGAATCTGGTTTGGAAGGAGATTCAATGTACTTGATAAGGACAATCCACCTACAAATGCGATATTTGGAATTGAAGGCCTTGGATAATCAATTATTTCGTCCTGGTCCATCAAGTAAAAACTAAAAGAGTTTGTCTTCCTGTAAAACTCATCCACACTTGATTTCGATACATATTTACGAACAACATCATCAGGAAAAGTAAAAGTTTTTCCAAATATCCCCATCAAAACCATACCCATCCGCACAAAAAGACTTTGAAAACGCGATATGAATGAACTTGGATCAGGAATTGGGAACAGAGGAAATTCGGGGATGCTGAGGTAATCTGACGGAAGTCTATAAATCACGTGAGGTAGACAGGTTGCTGAACAATAAACAACCTCTGGAATTGATAATTTATGTGCAATGATAAGGGATGGTAAATATAGCAATCCATCAAAAATGACTGTCTGAAAATGTTGACCCTCCAGTTTGGTGAAAATATCAGAATCTGTCAAATATGCATGTGAAATGTTTAGCATCATGCTCTGTACCTTTGGTCCTAAGGTAAAAAAGCTCTTATTTTGAAAGCCTCTTTCTCCTGAAATAGTATGAAGTTTATCGGTTTCTTTTGTGATTTCTCCCTCCTTGTCGTGGGTAACTATTTGGCCTGATAAATCTCTCAAACCTTCGTGTCCTGCAAGTGTTTCCGGGACTAAGAACGTCACATTATGTTTGTACTGGTTAACTAGGAGATCCACTATACCGATCATTGGTCTCACATGACTGTACCCCGGGCCTGGTATAACTAGGATGTTCTCCGATGATACCATTGCAAGTAGGTGCAAGATAAACAGGATGTGTACAAGATGGAACCTTCTTGTCTCCATCTGCCAAAACAATGCAATATAAAAAGAAAATAAGATATTCTAATTTTCATAATCAGTCCTTATATAAGATCTTAAGATTCTGAAAAAAAAAATAATTACGAGAAAATTATTGTATATGCATATTTTTTGCAAGATTGTCTCGGCCTAAAAATAAGTGCAAGTGATTGGTAATAGAAAGTTTCATAACAGTTACTGTCTGGTCATTTTGGGGATGAACAAAAATCATGTATAGGTAACCAAAACAAAAATACACAAGACTATCCTGATATAAAATACCGTAATTTAAGTTATTTACTGAATATTTAACCATCTGCTAAAGAAAAGTTAAACCATTTAAGTACCGTAGAATTACGCTAATGTACATATTTGTGTTTTTGTATCAATATACCGGGGTATGCCTAAAATTGTAGGAAAACATCAAAATAAATATATAATAATGCCCTCGAAATCCGGCGTTTACTAACTTAAAAGTTCTGAGTTTAGCGTCATCATTGGAATAGAATGTAACAGAGCCAGCAAAGGGTAGATTTATTTCATTCAGAGAGAAGTCGTGTTTAATAAATGTTTCCCTTTAATCAGTGCAGAAGAAAAAATTACTGAACAAATTAACCTGTCTGTGAAAGTTGAACTATATTATATGTGTTCCTGCATGTTCTTAGCATGCTCAGCATAGATTAGCATAAATATTCATATAACAAACAGAGTGAGACCATACGTAAGGTGCAGGTCACTGACACCATTATGGCTATGCCGGGTATTTATAGCTTCAAAACAAGGTGAAACCGTTCAATGATTAAATAAAAACCCAATCTATACCGGTGTCAAATGTATGATACATGGATACTTAATTGTTCACTACAGGAAGATTGGTTGATTTGCATGACTGCTAAATTTATACATGTAGGCGTATATTAAGAGGACAAAAACATTACTAATTAATTAAGCCCTTGCATTGGTGTGTTATACTGATAGCATTAAAAACTATTGATTTATATGCTTTAACATGTTTAATCCAGATACACCTAACTCTTTAAAAAAATATAGCATACAGGTTGCATACCTTTTTTTCCCTAAAATTCCAGCTTACATGACTTCAGCCTGTACTGCGTGTAACCGGGGCTTGATTGTTGGATATAATTCTCCATGATCTGTATTTCTTCATGCATGCGAAGTACTTTTCTCAATAGCAAAACGTAATGGGGTCAAAATCTATAACGTTGCACTCCGTGTCTTTTATAATATCATCAAGGTCTAATGCACTAAGGCTTATTTACGCGGTCTGCATAATAAGATCTGCATGACGTGCAACAACTTACAAATCTCATATGGATTAAAAAAGTAATCTAGATATGAAATCAACTAGCTAGGGTTGGATGGCATTGAAACATCGTAATTTCTTTGTAAGAATAGTATTGAAACCAATCATTAAGTATTAAGGTCAGAGAGGTTGATCTAAATAAAGCACAATTAAATGCGTTCAATAAATCATTTCCTCAGTGCTCGCAAAGAAAAAAAAACGCTTTTCATTGATTTAGTCTTCATGATTTCACTAAAATATTCTCTTTTAATTAAAACACAAGATATTCCAATTTTTGATTATTTTTAGAACATATTCAGAGTATGAACCTTCGTATACTGGAATAAATGGTACATTCTGTGATTTCACGTACTTGTTTTTTTTTTCTTTCTGAAAGGGTCGCCCGCGTGGCGCAGTGGTTAGAGCGTCTGCTCTAGAGTCGAGATGTAAGGAGTCAATCCTTACGTCGCGGGTTCGAATCACACTGTGGGACGTGGAGACCGGTCCTTCGGATGAGACCTTATAAACCGAGGTCCCGTGTGGCAGTAGGTGCTGGCACGAAAAAGATCCCTCCCTGCTCAATGGCCCTGAGTGCCGAGCATAGGACAAAATTTGTAGCTCTCCACCGGCAAGTGGTGGCGTCTCCATATGAGTGAAAAATTCTCGAGAGGGGCGTTAAACAATATACAATCAATCTTTCTGAAAGGTGTTTGTTCAAGTTTGGAAAATGAAATAATTCAAAGGTTGAACGATCTGGCAAATATTGTTGATATGACAAAACATAACTTTCTGTTTATCAAAAAAGCGCCATTACTCTTCATGGCCTGTGACGCTGTCAGGAAAATATTTAATGTAGTGGATTCCTGATTCTGGTTCCTTCCTCTCATAAATCTTTCGATTTTTTTTTTGCAAATATTTTGCTTTCTAGACTTATTCAGAAATTAAACTGCCTCCCAGAACTAAATGGTAAAAATCAGCCTATGTGATATTGCTAATTTTTTTTGTCATTTTGATCTTCCTCTTAAAATTCACCTGGCTTGGTATATTTTTCTAAAGTTTATATTACACTTTTAGCGCCAAGATAACTTATTCTGAAATTTGTTTTCACCTTTAAACCTTAACTGAATGTGATTTGTCTATATTTGGTTTTTTTTTATTGAAATAGTACATATTTTTCCAAATCTATTTCATTTTCCAGTTCTTCTTCTTCAGACATGATATTAAATCTTTTTTTCAAAGAAAAAATTTGTTTGTATCATCTGTCCTTAAGCTAATTTACCGTCAAATGTTTCTTTAAAACAGCGTGAATTATCAAAAAATTATTCCTATGAAATTTGCTCTGTGTCATAAAGTCAATCAAACATAATCATTGATAATTTGTTGAAATTTCGCAAACACTGCGTTGGTTGTTGTAAGTAAAATATCCATTTCTGTACTGTAATGAAACTGATTATTTTGTATATATACTGATGAGCTGTAAAGCTTAAAGTGATAATAAAGAAAGAGGGAAGGAAAAAAAGTCCGCCAAGGACGGTACCCATTTTTGATGCCCATTATATATTTTATGTTCATTGAAATCCACCTGCTCATGAGTCTATAAAACAGACAATAGGTTGCCGTAAATTTTACACATTTCAGAGAATATTTCTTTGGGATTCTTAACAAGTTGTACAGCAGCATAAATGAAGCTTTTAATTTCACTCTAGTTTACCGATTCTTTACCATTCATTTTTAATGCAGTGTCTCGAGTAGCTCTTGTTGTCCAGCTTCCCACAATGAAACTCTGTGATGAAAAGTAGTCACATAAATTGTTATCAATTCATTAAAGATTCAATAATGTGAGAAAGTCAACCTTAATGTTATATGATTTCTATGTTGTATGTTATAAAGACCGGGGAAATATTAATTGAGCACCCTAGTACATGTAACTCGTAGATTTTTCAAGAACTGCTCCGGATTTCTGCAAATTTATTTAAAGATTTATTTTATTTATATAGCACCTAGCAACCAAAGTATCACATATGATATGTTCTTCTGTATCTTCAATTTTGATTACTTCTCAGTTTATTCGATACGCAAGACTTCAAGCATGTTCTAAGTACTGCATATGAACAAGTTATTGACACAAAGTTGATGAAACTAGAGTATCAGCAGTCTCTTTTATCATGTTTCTATGCATCATTCCGTAAGTTCTATGGTCGAAGCGAAGACCTTGTCAGCAAATACAATATATCATTAAAGTCAAATGCCGACTAATAATTTTTACACTATTTTTTGGGGCATTATTTACACACTGAATTGTCGACGGATTTTCAATTTTTTTCATCCCGATCATGAAAAGAAGTGCGCGAGTGTGACCGGACGGCAGGAAATGCTCAATCCTCCCTGGCACCTTATTCCATCTCTGATGTTTAATAGATCTGTGTTTGCTCTGCTGCAAAATTGGCTTTGTTTAATGGATTTTTAAAGCTAAATACTGTTCCTTATTCCCATACACATATTTCATTTGAAATTAAGGAGGTTCAATGGCTCATTACATCCACCATCGTCTAATATACCCACGGATGATATACACCCGGATGATAAGTATAGACGACGCGGAGATCACACGTGGGTTTCCAACGATATACATGCACAGCTTATTTTAGATTTATAATAGTACCATGCACTTACAACAGTATTATATAGATTTTCAGATATCGAAATGGAGATTATGATGCCTTGAAAAGGAATATATGGAGTAATTACCAATATTCCCCCAACACCCCCACCCGAAAATCAAACTTTGACGGAGAAGGATACGAGGGGTTATCAAAAAGTTCGGGGACTGGGGCTATAAAAGTAGTACTATGTTGTCTGGGCTTACAAAATTTATATAGAACATAAAACAACTAAAAATAAAGAAATGTTAAAAATTGTAGCTTGATACGTTCATTATTTCCCAAATTATTAAAAAATAAAAACGACATTATATGACCATCCGGCGCTGTCGCCGCTTAGTTTTATGACGTCCGACAACGTCATAGCTTCTTCTACCGCGTACACTTATTTTGATGAGATTCCCTAGAGATGAATAAGGACTTCAACCCGTCTTGTTTTTATGAATTTACAATGCCATGAACAGCAACTTCCAATGCGTATATATAATATTGCAAACGGATAAAATGACCCCCCCCCCCCTTTGATATCATTTTCTAGATAATATTTGTTTGATTATTCAATGTAAAATTTACAATATAACTTCACAGAATTTCCAGAATGAGGTAAAAATTCCAAATTTAATGGAACAATAGTGTCCCAACATATACCTGAATTAAGGACGTTCTGTCCTGATATTTTGAGCGTATTTCGCGCAGGTCCTTTATTCATAAAATTAAGCATCATTTTTAGGTTCTAACAATAAAACTTGATTCTTAAATGCAAATTAAATTATATTCAATGAAAAAACCGCGATTAAATTCCCTTCAAGTAGAATTGAGCTAGGGACTATATTTTGTGGCGGAAGGTTTTTTAGACGAAAATGGTCAGTTTTTTCAATTTGAACTATAATAGTACTGTTAATTTTGGATGCCTATTTTTCCATGCTGGTTGCACACAAAGTTGTTTTTTGCAGTGAAATCTGTTATGCTGGTTCTGAAATATCTATTAAATTATTTCTCATGAATTCTATCAACAAAGTATGACAAATTTAGTAAATAT